GTCGGAGGGTCAGTGCTGAGGGAGTGCCGCACTGTCGGAGGGTCAGTACTGAGGAAATGCCGCACTGTCGGAGGGTCAGTGCTGAGGGAGTGCCACACCATCATAATATCAGTCTTTTGAATAAGATAACAAGCAAGTGTTCAACTGCTCTTACATAAAGACGCAAAAAGTCTCAATGCCCTATTTTGAAGAGGAGCATGGGAGATCTCACCAGTTTTCCAGTCTATGTGTCCCTCAACCATCATCACTAAACCAGATGATCTGCTAATCTGCTAGTGCAATTTGTGGGAGCTTGCTGTGTGTTAAAACTGGCTGTCACCCATCCTACAATACGACAGAGACAACACCTCAAACATGTTTCTGTGGCTGTGAAAACGTTCAGGCCATTCGATGTTTTATTCTTTCACAAGGGGGCCATTGGCTGGGTCAACATTTATTGCCTATCCTGAAAGTTCTTTCTTTCACTGGCTTACAGGTTTCTAAGTAAGACCAGGATGGTCACACTGCTACACACAGTGTCAAACAGTCATGCTCAACATTTACATGGGATTTGCTTTTGTTTGAGGCAGATCAGCTCAAATAGAAAATCTCTCACCAGGAGTTGTTTCTGCAAACTAACCCCCAAAACATTCCTACTGTGTCAGGAATGGAATCCAGTTTCACACTGAAGCTTTAAACCACAACAAAGCACATATGTACATGTACATTACACACACCCCACATACCACCAGGTTATCCCCTCCCAGCTTATTATGCAGAATGCCGAACAGAATTTTGTTTTGTAACCTGGTAAGATGTTCTCCTGAAGATGCTAACACCTTTCATAGATTCTTGTTACTTACAGGGTGAGTTATCATGATCTGGAAATTGCTGCTTGTAAGGATGGTGGAAGTTAATTCAATCATAACTTTCTAAAGGGAGTTGGATAACAATTGAGGGAAATTTGCAGAAGCATGGGGAAAGAGCAGAGCAGTGAAACTATTTGGGTAGTTTTCAAAGGATCAACACAGGTGCCATGGGCTAAACAGCCTTATTCCACGTTGCCAGGCTTTGATGAGAATACACTTGCAGGATTCTGAATGGTTTGGTCTCTTTATCTAAAGAAGAATCTACTGGCTGGGAGGTGATTCTGTTAAGGTTCATAACATTGATTCCCAGGATGAAAGTTCTATTGATTTGCAGATACCAATACCCTTAGGAATGAGAGGGATAATCTCATTGAAAAGTAACAATCTTTTTGACAGTGTTCGATAGTAAATACTGAAAGACTGGTTACTCTGGCTGGTCAGTTCTAAAGAAGGTGATATAGCCTCAGGATAAAGAGCCAATCATTCAGGACTGCGGTGAGGGGAAAACTTCCTCCCTCAAAATGTTGTGTATTTTTGGAATTCTTACTCCTGGAAAGTTGTACATTTAGTTGTGGCTGTAGCTCAATCATGCAGCATATTCACAGCAGAGATCAGTACATTTTTGGAGTCTTTGGGAATTGAAGGAAATGGGGAGGAGTGGTGAAAGGTGAAACGGTGGTAGAAGATCAGCTGAGATCTTAATGAATGAAAAATAGGGTTGAGGGGCCAAATGGCCTTCTCTGACTAATATTATTAATGCCTTATGCAAGGTCGCACAATCACCTCTGATCAGCAGGTTAACCCCATGACCCTTCCACTGAGCCCACACTTACCGCTATGTCTCGTACAGGTGAAGCACAACTTCCACTACTTGCATTCCTCTCCCACGACAGGCTGAAGCGATCAGTACTTTTAAATGAAGCTGTAATGGTTTCTTGTGTCATGCTCCGTGGTAAACTGTAAGCTCCAGAGCCCTTGCTGTAGTAAGCATCGGTGCTGTCGCTTCGGCTGCAGGCTCTGTAGCTCCCGGCCTGGGAATCCAAGTGGTGTCGAGCGAGTGTTGGGCTCTTTGTGGAATTTAACTGGTACGTGTCTGCCATGTGGAGGGTCAGCAGGTCTCTGTTTAGGTCGGTCTGGCTGATGGATTTCCTGCGAGTTAGAGACAGCCCAGGGGGAGGGTAGCCCGATGGGCTGCTCACCGTGCTGTAACCGTAGTTACCACAGTATCCGCCACTCAGTCCGCTAGGGAAGGCTTTCAGGGGAACACGACTCAAACTCTCGCTGCGCCTGTTCAGTATGTCAGCATGTGGGATGTGCCGGCCACGGTCAGCATCCACAGTACACTTGCTCGCTGCTCGGCCAGAGCTGGCATGGGTGATATAGTTGGTGTAGCCTGGTTTATAAAGCTTGTCCTTGTCTGTGTAACTGGTGCCCAGGCTGGGAGTGTAGCTGTGGTACGTGGTGCCATAGTGAGAGCTGGAGAGGGTGCTGCCAGTATAGTTCCCAATTCGCTTCGCTGTGGATGAGGAGGAAACTCGAGACATGTCAACCTCAGTCTCACACAGTAGGCCTCGCCTGGCATTTACTGAGGAGAAAAAGAAATTCATTTTAGATCTCAAATTGATAATTACTTTTAATTTAAAGCTTCCCTCAAATCCAACCTCCCCTAGCACCAACCACTAGTTACTCTGCTGTGCCCACTGACACTTCTCAGGTTCTCAGGCCATTCCTATTCTTCACATCCAGCCTGGGCCTTACCCACTAACCAACCCCTAGTTGTCATTGCATTGAAACACATGAGTGGGACTGAGTTGGAGATATCCTGTGACAGTTTACACTGGGAAATAAAACACAGTCTGGAGCCATTCTCTAAACATTGGAGCAATTTGTTTGAACAAAACAAAGTAAATATGCCCATTCCAAACCCGTATCACCACCCTCACTGCTTCAATTTATTAACAGCACGGTTTAAAACCTGGGAAATGGGACAGAAATCTGATGTGTAGGTTGAATGTATTGTTAATTCTGAACTATGAACAGAAACTTCTTGCCTAAGCTGTCAATCACTCTGCCTGGGCCTTGTTTCCAGCAGAATCGGACCATTGACCTGACTGAGCCTCAGGTGAGTTTGTGTCACAAAGGACACTGTAACATCAGTTGTCTCCACACAGCGAAACTGTTACTGAAATGCTTGTTTATGCTCACACTTCAATCTTCTGGGCTCAACTACCCTGACCAGCATTCGAGCCTTCACCCAAAGTAACATGTACATTCCTATAGCATCTTTCACAATCTCAAAAGTGTAAGACAATAACGCAACAATCAAAGTAAATGTTTACGTCATCACTATTGACAAATGAGTGGGAGTTACCAGAGTCTTACCAGCCCATAGAGCTGATACAGTGTGGAGCTGGAGGAACACAGTAGGTCAGGGAGTACCAGAGGAGCCAGGGAGTACCAGAGGAGCAGGAGAGTCGATGTTTCAGGCCTTCATCAGGGTCTAGACTTGAAACATTGACTCTCTTGCTCCCCTGATGCTGCCTGGCCTGCTGTGTTCCTCCAGCTACATGCCGTGTTATCGCTGACTCCAGCATTGTCCGTTCTTGCTGTCTCCCAGCCCATTGGGCTGCTCTCTCCTTAGAGAGAGACAACTGGTGGTGGTTTAACTTGAGGGTCACGATATCTCAGGTGAGGGGGGGGGATTGAGAAGGAGAGTCCTTCGTGGTAACCTCAGCCAGTGTGGGAGTTGAGGGTCAGCGCTGAGGGATCCCCTCGGAGGGAGTTGAACCCACACTGTTGGCATCACTACTTCACAAACCAACCACCCAGCCAGCTGAGTGCAGTTAGAACCACTAAAGCTGTTCTTCAAAATAACAGCCTTGGGATCATTTTATATACACCTGACAGGCAGGATCCAGCTGCTTTTTATCTGAAAGAGAGCACCTCCCTCAGCACTGAGCTGTGACAGGGAGGCACTCCCTCAGTGCTAACCATCCGAGGGTGGGGGGGAAAGAGGAACCCTCAGCGCTGACCCTCCGCGGGAGGGGAGGAGGGGATCCTTCAGCACTAATCTTCCAAGGGGGGAGAGGATCCCTCAGCACTGATCTTCCGAGGGGGG